TCTTTTAGTCGAATAGGAACTTCTTAAAGCCTTTTTACCGCAATACTGTTGAAATGTGAAACTTAGATAGATTTCTAAAATAAAGAACCTTTAGCACATGTCCTAGGATCAATCTGATCGATCCTGTGAGTCACCAAAGTTAGATTAGGAAGATCAGCAGTTGTTTTTCATTTTTCAAGGGAAACAAGGGGGTCCCTCAAAACCATTTCATCAGAAGATCTTAGAGGAGGAAAAGGCTAAGGTGAACCTTATGTGGATGTCTTCTCAAATGCCTTCATATCATCACTATTAGCAATGTTGCCACCATTATAGGGGAGTTTTCGAAAGGAACCCCTAGTTGGACACCATACAAAGGATGTTATCAGAGGCACGTGGTGTATTTCATTATATGAGGCACCGGAGGAACATGAGTGTGAAATAGAAAAGCAGTTATAGACCATTTTCTTTTTTGTAAATATTTTGAGTTCTGATTTATTACATTTGTCTTATGAGTGTCATATGGATATCTTGTTTTATTAGTCGACATATGTATGTTAAGACAATGCACATACATGTATGATATCTTATGTATGTTGAAAATATGTTTCGATTTTAAAATTTTGATTAAACTTACAGATATTGAAATGCAAACACATTCATTTAAGTGATGTGATTTATCTTGCCCTCCCTTTTCCTTTACATTTGAAACCAAGCAAGCCAGTCTATAATAGAGTTTTCACTAGTGTCTACTCCTGCTCCAACACTTTTCCAATATTTCTCTCAATATCTACACATGTTTGTTTAAACCTATCATATTCATTAACTTCTACTCCTCTTCAATCAAACTAAGCATATTTTTATTTCACATTTGGTAAGTTTCTCATATTCTTACTTTTTTATTTGTGATGCATGAAATTCTTTAATAGGTTATATTATATTAGGTTACATTCAATATAATATTATATTTGTTTTCTCCTAATTAAAGTTGGTATGAATTTGGTACCTTTGAGGGTTAAGGTTTATGTATGAACGAGTTATGTTCAGGTGCATGTAGTTGGGATATCAAAGTCTAAATCCTTTGTCCAAATAAGTTGTTTTTCATTCTGTTTTTTTTTATTTTGTTTGCAAATACATTGTTTCCGCTTCTTTGAATATGATATGTTTTCCTTATTTTATAATAAAAAAAATGGCTAACGAACAACATAGATACATACATGGTTGAGTGGCCCAACATGCTTCAGTGTGCATGGATCATGACGAAGCGTTAGTTGCCCCAGTTCATGATATTCTACATGCGTATGATTCACATCCTGCAGTCGGACCTGATATTGGTGCACCTAATAATTTTTCGGGAGACCCCAAATACATTTCATTACTTCCTTTATATTCACATCATGTTGTAGTTACGTGTTGGAAAGAATTGTAGCATAAATTTTTAATTACTCTCGTAAACTTTTTTATACTACTTGAATTGTCTCGCATTTATGTATTTATTTTTGTTGTACCATGTGACGTTGAAATGTATAAACCATTGTAGGAAGATATAAAATATTCCACAACATGATGAACCATGGTTTCAAGAACTCTTAGAGAAATCTGGGCTGAAGGACTTCTGTAGGACTGGATATGGCTATATGGTCTATTGTCTGCATTTATTGAGAGATGGCACGTAGAGACATCGTCATTTTATCTTGTCGATGTATCGCTCCTTGTACATATTTCGATCACAGGAAGATTGTTGGATCACTCTAGAATAAGTAGAACTGAGGCACACAACCTGATGGTGTCACAATTAAGAGTTGATCCGGGTAAAGCCCAAAAGAAGATAAAAGACACCATAGGATGCCATGCTATATTTTCATTCCAATCATAACAAATATTAACCACCTGGATGCAGTTGTGTATGTTGCGAGTGATGATGCACGGGTGGCCTATCCTAGATCATGTGCATTGAAGACATATTTCCTTATTTTTGTTGGCATGGCCATACTCGTGGAGAAAAGTATGACATATGTCGACTTGTCTACATTAAATAATTCATGGATTTTGAGAGGATTCATGAGTACAATTTGGGTCATTTTATTTGTTTTACCTGTACTCCAAGTTAGCTGAATGTAGCTTATGGAAGACAAGACATATGACAATAAGCAATTTTCTATTCCATGTAATTTATTTACTCCTTACTGATATTAATTTCATAATACTTATGTTACACACTTATAGATATTTCATCTGAACGATTTCCAGATATGGATCCTTCACCATTTTCCATGTATCGTCGATTGGGACTATATTGAATACTACATTGAGGATATGCCACGTGGTTGCTCTATTATTCCACTAAGGGGGAATTCAGAGACCGAGTCGTCCTGACATGCTCTTGGCTGCATCATGTCGGGTGAATATATCTCACATCGTACGTGAGTACCGTTAGACACAACCCTCTGAGGTGATATCCTAGTACTATGGATGGTCGGCATGTGTGTCTCAACTTATATACCTGCATCTACTTGAGTGAGTTATATGGCAGTCCAGGTATATGTAGGTATACATAGGAACCTCACATTTAGTGCTCTTGCCACTACCCTTAGTAAAGATATTAATGTGATATTTGCATACTACCATAAGCATCCAATGTCCACGAGTGTATGTAGTGTGTCAGCTCCTCGTCCATGGAGTACGGTATGCAATTACATCCAATAATTTTATAGTGATACATCCTTACATGACACCAGATCCAGAAGAAGATCCTCGTAGGCTAGCTTATCAGGATTTACTAGAAGATGAACAAGAAAGGACAGACCATGTTGTGGATGTACTGTTTATATGTCAATTTATTGTTTCTACTGAGAGAGATGTCATAGTTAGATGAGAGTTTCATGAAGGTACTTCTGAAATTGTCATTTTACACATATAATATTATAAAAGGCACAAAATGCATTGGAGTATAGGAGACAGAGAAGGAACATAGGCGTTATATATATCCAATAGTTGTATTTTTATTTGTATTTTGATGTAAACATGTGAATCGTTGAGTTATGTATGACTGATGTTTCCTTTAAATATTAGTTATGAAAATTTGTTCTTAGTTATGAATGACTTGCATGTATAGTTTATTGTGTGAGTAATATATGGTTCATGATATTGTCCAAGGGTAATATTGTCCACAATTTGTCCGAATGCTAAAATTCGGATTCACCCCATTTGTTACGAAATACACACTTAGACAATACTTACAATTTAGTTCAGGGGTTTGTTTAAACATTAAAATCTGAATTCGCGTTTGTTACGAAATACACGCACAAACAATGTTCACAATTTGTTCCATGGGTTTGTCCGAATCTTGAAATTCAGACTCGCCCCTTTATTACAAAATACACACTTAAACAATACTTACAATTTGGTTTGAAATTTTGTTAGAATATTGTAACCCATATTTGCTGGGGAGATTTTCACTATGGAGTATTGAGCATTGGGTCAAAAGCAACACAAGTGAGAGAGACACCACATATTCACCCAAAATCTTAAGGTGATGGGTGTATGGGTTCTCCCACTTATAAATGATTAACTCTCCACAATTATAACCAATATGGAACTCCAACTTACACTTGTTATATTATTCTGAACACTCCCCCTCGAGTGTGAGTCCACAATACTTTCCCCTCATGTGGAAACTCTTTTGTCCATATATATTTGTACCGTCGTTGACACCTCTTTCCTAGGCATTTTGATACACCTCTTCTCAGGTATTTTGATTTCAACAAGACACCACTTCCTGGGCATTTCGATACATGTAAGTTGGTCTCTTTACTCGAACCAAAGACTCATGATACATTTGTTAGATCAAGAGGAGCGTTTTGGATCAAGAGCAACACAAGTGAGAGAGACACTACATATTCACCCAAAATCTTAAGGTGATGGGTGGTTCTCTCACTTATAATGCTCAACTCTCCACAATTATAATCAATATAGAACTCTAACTCACACTTGTTATATTATTCTCAACAATATTAACTCATTTATCATAACGTACACACAAATAGAATAAATAATTTTGCTCTTGGATGGGTTGCATATGGAAATTGGAATCTTAGATTTTGGAATGAGAATATATTTTTTACTTGAATGAGGATGTGTTTTTGATAAAGAGAAGTTTGTTGTATTTGAATGTGCCCGAATTTCAATTTTCAAACGTACAAAAGGGTAATTTTTGGTATTCATAGGTTTTTGGTGTATTGAACAACCCCAAAATATAATCTTTCAAAAAGTAGTCAATTTCAAATTGTGCAAAGATTTGATTGCCTAATTTATTCTCCCTTCTATCTTGATTACAAATGAAAGTTAAATTGACACTTATTAGAAAACATAATTAATGTAGTTGCTTTACTCGATCTCAAAAAAAAAATAGTACATTTTCAAAAGTACTCTTTAAAAAAAGTTACAAAAGAATAAAAGTCATTAAACACCATACCAAAAAATAGCCATTAAAAAATTAAAACTTACAATAACTAGTGATATTTTAAAAATGACATCATGAGAAAAAATAATTAAATTTACATATATACTAGGTCATCAGATATAAATACTTACTGGAAAAAATTAGAAAAGATAACGAAAGCCAGTCATCAACTTTGTTAGGGAATAAAATTATATAAGTCGAATGATTGCTGACGTAAAAAAATCATTATCATGTGGTAGTTATTTACAAGTTTAAAGAAGAATGTAAAACACATGTTTATGATTCCAACCATTTTTTATGAGACAATAATGATATGGTTTCTGTATCTATCGTACAAGGAAGAGCACAAAATTCCACTGTACATGATAAACCAGGGTGCCGACACACTGATTCAAAGTACTTAAGCAACACATATCTAACTAAAGAGATTTTTCACGCAATGATGGGTTGAAGATTACACTTTACTATTTCTCAATGAAACTAGAGAAATTTCAAACTTTCTATGGAACAATCTCAATCAAGCTTTGAGATCGAGAATTAAATGGAATACAACCGTGGCCGATCATGAATTAACTGGAATACAGAAGGATGAGCTGAGTGTTGGTGGCAAAACACAAACTAGATGTGGCCCGGAAGGTTTGCACCTTATATTTGCCTCGTCAATTTCTGGCAGCCCAAGTAGAGGAGGACGCACATAACCAGCCACCAATGGCATGCATAATACTGAGATAATTATCCTTGCACCTATCATGATGAGAAAGAAATTCAAATACCAATAAAAGCATTAGCATATTGAAGGTAGTTCCTGCAGAAAATATCCTGATGTTCTAGATGGATATACCTTGATTTTTGGAGAGAGATACATGCCCTCTCTTCCTTCCAGCGATCATCCAATTTCCAGAATTTGCATTTACCTCATACAGCACCTCGTCCTGTCAAATTTTGAAACAATTATAGCATCAAACAGAATACAGGAATAGTAAACAAGATTTGCACAATACTTGTCCAACACTAATCTTGATTCAGGACTGAAAACAGCTCTTAGAAACCAGATATTTAACTAATTTTTTTCCTGTTTCGCCAAAGAAAATACAGAGAGACGTCAATGTGTTGACATCATTCTAGAAGAACAATCATGTATGCTTTGCTGTTTGGGAAGAGTTGGATGAATAAAGTTTTTAAAGAACAAAAAGGAAAAGCAAGAAATTTGTTACCATATGTGGAAAAATTAAGAGAACTAGAGAAACACCCAACAGCAAAATGATTATTATAATAGACAAACCAAATCTATCACACAAGGACTTTCCAATGAAAGATCCATACAAATTTTCTCTCTTTCAATATTTGTTGTCCCCCCAGCAAAGAGAAATTACTTTCTATCATCGTCTTTGGCTCAGTTGTTTCACAAACAAGTATGTAAAAAAGAACTGCTTTCACCTAAGCATTCCTCTCTTTTCGAAAGGAAATAAAAACCTCTACTTTCTGTCCACTAAATTTATTCCCAAACAAATAAAAAGAATGCTGTCAAATATCCATCGTGCAAGATTGTTTAAGCGTCCTGCAGTTAGATTCTATGGAGGGGCACCGAAAGGAAGTGACTATGTTTACTTCGACGAGAACTTAGAAATAAAATTATGCAAATAAAAGAGTTGAAGTTGGAAGTTCAAAATCCACAACGGAAATGAGTCTAAGATACTATAAAAATGATGAAGTGGCAAACATTCTTCTATCTGTTTACTTACATTCTGTTCAGAAATTTCTTTCTCATTCAAATCCTTCAACCTTTCCACCCTCCATTGCATCTTAATTAGTTGTCCAACTCTGAGGCCATCTGAAGGGAGAGGAAGAAAACCAACGGCTAGGCATGGATCAAGCACAGGCCTTTGTAAAATAATTACACTCTTGAAGATCAGCTCCTGTCTAGCACCATCAACCCCAGTAGATTCATTTATAAAAGGAGGATGGGCTCCAATTGTTCTATCACCAGAAATTCCATATTTGATATTTAGTATGCTTTCTGGTTGCTTCATGTCTTCTGCAATTTATTTACAGCGGGTGACAAATCATTTAGACAAAATATTGACAGCAACAGCAGGTGACAAATCATTAAACTTGAATAAGAATAAGTCAACCAACAGGAAACCTCTGAAAAGGGATAGAATCATAGAAATGCACTTCCAGTTAAATGTAAAGACCCGCTAGGATATTATTGTGATAACCAATTCCTGAATTTTGCGTACGGTGATATTTACGGGCACTGGTCAAATTATTTGGTGCTATATTAAAAAGCCACAATAACATTGTTTCACTGATCTCTGGCCAATTGTAATTACCTTCTGTGTTTGTCTTGTCTAGGAAGATACTAAACAAAATTCCTGCTTTGGAAGTGGGAGATATGATTAGTGGGAAGAAGCTTGAAGTAGGTCTACCCTCAGTTTGTCCAGAATGAACAAATCCGTTTTGAAGATCAAGCCAAGCATCGTATATGGTCAATGTAGCCTTTATTTCAGAGTGAAGTATTACCTAGAAGTCACATGAAACAGTGGGTGCTTATCAACCAAAAGAAATAAAATAATATATAGAAGATTGCATAAAGGCGTGTAAAACTCAATGCTGAAAATACATTTTGTTTCTTATGATTGTGAGGGATACAGAAACTCCTTTCAGATTTACAAATTGAATCAGTCAAAAAAAGTTCCTCATGAAAGAGTGATCATAGTTCTTTCATATGTAAATAAGGAAACCCAGTCAAAAAAAGTTTCTCATGAAAGAGTGATCATAGTTCTTTCATATGTAAATAAGGACCCATACCTGCAGAAGCAAGGTACCATCATTGCATTTATCAGTAACATGTGTCCTCACATAGAGAGGATGTGTAAAATGCACAGCTAGGGTCCTGGATAACAAGGTAAAATATTATTAAGTACCTAATGGCAGAAGAAGAAACATTAAGTAAAAACTAGATGTGGGGAGCTTCAAAGGTGTATCTATATGATAATTAACATATAAGAATGATGGAAATGGAAAAACCTTTCAAATATCTGATTGTGAAATGCTCCAAATTCAAGTTTCAGAGCTATTGTTCTCATTCCATCTACAATACTCTCTCTCCTTGTTGTGACTGAAAAGAACAACAAAAATAAATAAGTACATAAGGTTTAGTATAAAACGTGAATACCATCAAGATTTTCTATCACCGTCACAACCTGAAGATGATCCTCTGTTAAGTGTGTCACTGATGGCACGAATTAGAACCCAGAGTATAGAAGGAGTGTCACTTGCCCAATTCGGAAACACTATTTTACCGTCATGAAGAGTTGATCGTTCAAACTTTTTCTCAGAATTCAAAGATTCTATCTGAGCACCATCTTTCTGCACCTCAGCCTCACCAATGTCTGATACACCAGCATAGCTTTCCATCTCAACTATGTTTGTCTCTTCAATCTCCAATCCTGGACCAGTATCAATATGCAAGACAGCAGCCTTGAGGGAGTAATTTAACGGCCGAACTAAAATACCAACCCATTGATGTTCATTTATTAACAAAGCAGATGAAACAGCAGCATCAAGATCCACAAGTGCTCTAGGTTTGGAAACCTAAAAATAGACAAGACAGTCTTAGATACTTGACATTAACCTATGTTGTTAATCTCAGATAGACGTTGCGTAGCACTGGACCCTTAAAATGCCATAGCTGAAAGCGGGGTAGCCGCCATTGCAAAGACTATAAATAAGTGTATAAAGTAAACATAAATACTCAAAGATTGACTAATACACAAAATTAAAGAGATCGTCATACTTAATAGTTAAAGAACCTCGAGTATAGAGTAACAAAAACTTAAGCATAGAAGAATAAAATAGAACTGAACTAAAAGTGGGAAGAAGAACAGAATAATTATTTCTGAGCAAGAACATGACATTACTCTTCTAAGGGTTCAGATTGAAATTTATACCAATACAAAAGATAAAAAGCACTGATGAAAACAAATGACAGAATATGTTTACCAAAATCCTAAAATTAAAATTAAATAGGAAGGATCAAGAGGAAGACATGTTCATATGAACAGACTCCATATCTTCTATTGAATCATCACATTCCTTTTCATAGTGCTAGAATAGAGGTTACCTTCAAAATAGGTTTAGCTGGCTTTTCATAACTCATAACATCATCACTCTCTGCAGGACCAAGTTTTGAAACACCATGAGATCTAAACCTCAACTGCCCAATCTGCCCAGTAAGAACTCCAAGAACATATGATCCTGGTTTCTGAGGTGGTAGATCCAAGGTAATAGTATTCCGACCAGGGTGTAACACAATAGCTGTAGAACTCTTCAATGCCTAACAAAATAAATAAATAAAAAGTTGAATTACTCAAGGAAAAAATAATTATAAGCCATAAATTTCCCGTGTAAGTATTGATCTTAGACAAATAACACCCAACAACAAATACCTTTACACCTTCGTCAGCATTATATGTTGCCATTAATGTAAGACTGATTGAATCAAGAGTTATATCATCTGGAAAACCACTACAGACAGTTACTGAAAGGATACCAGGATCCCTGTCGCATAACTCTAATGGAGGTCCAGGATTTCCAGAAAATGTAATTAAGGATGATACATCAAGAGGTACAGGGTCTTTCATTTCACTATGAGCAAGACGAATCAATTCTGCTTGAAAAGCTTGACGCTCCTTCGTCAAAAATAATCCATCTTCAAGAGAAAGTAGCCGCACACATGATAGCAAGTAGCCAGCTTGATCATTAAGAATATTTTGACACTCTGCTAGAATGGGAAGGACCTCGGCCAACAAGTCCTGCCATCCTTCCCCATTATACAGTGCACAAACCTTCTCATATGACTTTGCAGCTTGGTCAAAATGGCCATGTTTAAAGGCAACAGCAGCTATCTCACCATCAAGGACAACTCCATGTCTTTTCCACCAGGAACGGTGGTAATTGTCAGCAGCACCTTTAGTTAGCTCTAGATATTTTTTCTGCCCATAACAAGAAAAGAACACAAAGAACACTAGTGAAGATGTAATCCAAATGGCACTAGATATTAACAATCACTTACAAGTCAATATGTACTCATAAGGGAGAAAAATGATAAAGTACACAACCAAAGGCATGGATATCAGCCCATGATAATACCTCAAACTCCTCGGATGATGATAATGATTTTAACATCCCAAGATTAGAAATTGTTTGCTTCAAAGCATGTTCGGCAGCAATATAAATCTCAGCAAGCCTCATAGGTCGGCCAATTGAGCTATCAAAGTTTCCCGGAGAAGAATTAGTGCGTGTCATCGAATTCGAGAGTACTTTTTGTGGTGACATCTTGGGGGATGAATCAAAACCTGATCTGTCAGCATATAAATCAGATTGATAAAAACCCAAAATAAAACAGAAATTATAAGACTTTAGAACAGTTTACTGTAAATAATTCCATCTGGAACAGTATATAGCATTTCATTACCCTTCCATTGGACCCTGGCGACTGTCAAACATTTCAAACACATTTCCAGCGGAAAGTGAAGCCCTCCGCCTGTTAGCCTCTCGTAGTAGCACAGTTGGTTCAAGGGGCAGTGGTTTCCTCTGAATACCAAAGTGCTTGGTTCTAGGAGTCGTTTGGAGAATCAACTGCCGAGATATAACCACATAATGTTAGCTAAGAATATAATGGATAAAACCCAGACCGCTTTTAAAGTAAGCTTCAAATTCTATGAAGAGCAACAAGAACTTTTTCCTCTCTTGTTAATTTAAGTAAAATGCTTTATAAAGGATATAAAAAAATTGCCAAGAGCCTCCAACCAATAATTAAGTGAAATATATTGTGAAAAGAGCGAGATTGAAGCATTTTCATGACTAGATAGGTATGCCGTTCTATGGTGACTTTGGTTGGGGCGAAATGTAAGGATTTTTAAGGAAAGAATCTTTCAATTTCAAATTTCAACAATTTGTTAGATGTGAAGTATTCTCCGACGCATTGATGAAAATTGTTTCGCTAACTGATGAAGGCAAGGCAAGTCAGTTAGTAAAAAGAAATACAGTGATCGTCATAAATTATAACTTATATAGTATTATTTATTTCAACTCCTGATGGGAAAACTATAGTATCCATTGCTTATACTCTCCCTTGTAACATTCAACTGAAATATTTAACAGAAGGCGTTAAAAAAACATTATACAGGTATGAACATTCTTTTGTTTAAAACTTAAAAACATTAGTTGGGCAGTTGGGTAGGGGGGAAATTCGGTGATGCCATACTCGTTATAATAACATGTTGTTACCTTTTCTTTCTCAAGCACCTCTGCTGATGCATCAGCAGGGACTGAAGGCCAAACAGCTGGCTTAGGCCAAGGTAGCAAGCTGAGGGAAGCACTGCTCGAACGAGAAGAAAAAACTATCAAACAAGGAGAATAAAACCAAACGTGATATCAAACAAGGAGACTAAAACCAAACATGATGTAACTGGCTGAACTACAAGATTCATGAAAGGAGTCAAAATTGATCAGATTATGGAAATGCATAATATACTTGATTTCCAGGTATGAAAGTGTACCTGTTGACAGGACTTCTTTCTATATCAGTACCATACCCAATTAAATACGCTAGCCTCATGAACTGCCAATATATGTAAAAATCATAAAGCAACATTAGTTAACATTGGTATGGCACATAATATCAATATATTCAGTAATAATCCAAGCAAACAAAATAGGGAAGGAAAAAAAGGAGAAAAATGATGTCTTTGATTCAACTCCTTTTACAACTCCGTGGTGGACTTAAGCTATCATCAAACCAAAATAGATTGACTGTCTATTTAATGACTTCATGAGACAAGCATTTCACCTTAACTCTGGCTAAAGAATATAGGTCACCAAGAAGACAAAAGAACTCCTTCTCTGCGTCAGGTGCCACAAGTCCATCACTATAGTTGGAAGTGGTTGCTTCAATTAAAGCCAAGCAAGCAGTTATCACCCAGACTTCACGCATACAAAAAGGAAGAATACGCTGAGAAGAAACAGTATATAGAAGTCAATGCCGGACAAACAAAAGATAACACGGTTCAAATTAAACGAATTTAGGAATATACAGGTGAGCACTTATGAACAACACAATAAAATACCTCCTTCAATGCCAAGGATTTTGAGAAGCTTAATATGAACGAATAACCTCGTGATGCTACCTCAATAGGTCGATTAAGCTTGAATAAGAGCTGCAAAATGACAGTAAAGTAAATCATAGGAGACTTAATAAATAAGTAGTTGCTGAATGTCACAAGGATCTGACTAAGCATTCCTTTGGATGCAGCACAAACTCAAAATGTCAATGAAAACTCATTTACATAGTTTTAAAAGAATCCAAGACATTACAATTTAAGACTTTAGAAGATAAAAAAAATCTCTATATCAGCAATGAAGACCATAAATAAAAAAATTAGGAAAGGCGGGAGCTTTCAAACTTCTAAAATATATTCCTTTGAAATGGTCAGAAAAGCACACTTTAGTATGTATGAAATACGCTGGTTATCCGACAGATGGTCATGGTCTGATATTTAAATTATGAAGTTTGTGTTGTTATAATCTCAAATACACACAGAAAAAAACTCATTATACAGCATTTATACATGGTTAAATACAACAATACTGTTTGTGCATGAACAAAGATTCATCCAAATTTTAGATGACATGATTAACTTCCAATTTTTACTAAACAAAAAAAATAAATGAGAAAAAAACTTTAAAGGAATTCAATGGTGTCTTAGTATAAAAAATGTTGCAGACTGTCCTAACTTAAACTCTATATAATGCACTTGAGCAGTGGAATGCAGAAATACTGAAAAAGCAAATGACTTACCAAAGACATAAAATATTTTATGCATATTATTTTGAATGAATTTAGATTTAATGCAAGAGGTCAAATTCAGCAGATCTGTAAAATCCATCTTAGATCATAAATTCTACTAGTAGAAGCATTCAAGATTATAAACAAAGAGGACATGAGATATATCAATCAAATTTTCTTTACAACTAGGTTGTTAACATATGTAACATGTTTCATGTGAAATAACTCATAACTGCTTTAGCTAGGGCAAACCTTTGATTGACAGGCAAACAGATACTGTCTAAATTCAAACTCTCTAAACGAATCCTCTTGGACAATCTGCGTCAATGTTTTGTTTCCTGGATTAACAATTGTGGCCTGATCATCACCATGGTCTGCCCCACCAAAGTCTCTTTTCTTTCCAGTCATGTTAACTGCAGAAAACCCATCATATTTTGGACCAATTTTCATTGTTTAAAGATCAGTCTGCTAACACTACCTAATGTTCCATAAAGGCGGCTAAATCACATTACTGTGAAATCTAAATATCATCTAGATCTTGGCTATAACAAAGTCAGAGAATAAAATTAACCGTTGTGCACCTGTTTCAAGATAGCAGAGTTCTAGTTCATCATATTCCCTTAAGGCATCTTCATGAAGATGCGCCATTTCAAACATAAAAGCCAAACTTTCCTGAGTACAGAATACAAATTTGTTATGAAAAGCCACAATCTCCAAGAATGAGTAGAAAAGGAAAATTAATAAATAAAGGCTGGGCTTTCAGAACAATATATCGTACTCTCAAGTCCACAACTCATAAGAAAAGGATGAACCTTCAAAATGAAAAAATTACAGAAGTTCCAGACTGGCATGAGACGCTGTTCACTGAGCTTCCGTATCTCATCTTCATAAAACTGTACGCGCCTATCCAGTGTATTTCTGATGCATTCCATTATTTTTGATTCTAGATCTTCCCAAAAATTAGCTTCAGGGAAATGCATATCATATTTGCAGCATCTAAACAAGGATTACAGTGTCAAAAGCATCAAAAGGGAAGAAAATAAGGTTTTATTAAATATAAGCCGAGTTTACACCATTTTTTTTACTGTAGGTGCTACCTCAACTCTACCTCTCTAATGTTATCATTTCTAATTCTATCTTATCTTAAGTCTTATCACACATCCAACACAACATCTTCATCTCCGCAACGCTTATTTTTTTTCGCGTATTGCTTTTCACCGCCCAACAACCCTGTCCCGTACAACATCGCCAGTCTTACAGCTATACGAGTACCTTGGAACTAATGAAAAGGAAAAATATGAATAGCCACTCTTTGTTTACTTGTAAGTGATAAGGATTTCTGGTAACAATCACTTCTTACAGTTTCCCTTTTTTTTTCTAACTCTCAACCACTCAAATGTATTATTAGCAGATGACAATGTATTATTAACAGATGACAGTTGATTCCAGAGTATTTATGGATTTTCCTTTATGTTGAGTGAGGGACACAACAATGGAAGAATGACCCCCCTGAAAGCAATAATGAGATTAACCCATCAAACTAAACTTACAATGTATGTGTAGTCTCTGTTTTGTTAATGTGCTTCGGCACCAGTTAGCTGTTAGAGCTAGTTAGATCAGTCTCTGTTTTGTTGATATATTTCTGCAAATGATATTATTGATAGAGCTGTTGCAGTTAGCCTTTAATCTGTTAGACTGTTACACTTTCTTTAATAGATCTCAGATATTACCTCTGGTTTTTCTTTCCTAACTTTCTTTTTTCAAGAAACCACTTTCTACTAATTATTGCCACGTCGGGTTATGATAGAATTAGAGTTTGGCATAACCCGTCCCTACAAAACCGGCTTAAAAACCGACTTGTGAGGTGAGGGGTGTCATTTTATATAAACCCTTTGTGGGCTTTAAACGGCGGGTGGCCCGAATTATCGATATGAGACTTGGTTTTTCCAATACACCCCCTTGCGCCTAACACTTTTTTTGGGCTTTGTGTGCATATATAAATGGTGGGTGCGCCCGAATCGATAGGCCTGTGATACCATGATAGAATTAGAGTTTGGCCCAACTCATCCCTACAAAACCGGCTTGCAAGGTGAGGAGTGTCACTCTATATAAACTCTTTGTGGGTTATATCTTTAACCAATATGGGACTTGTGTTTTTCACAATAAGTTATAATAACGAGAACGGTATGCAAATAAACGATTGTTAAGATTGTTATACATTGACTGTATTCTTGCTCAAAAGAAAAGTACATTGACTGTATTCTGTAATGTCTAAAACAAATGTTAACAAAAACTACAGACAAAAATAATTTGGAAATATTGTCAACAAAGAAGTCATTCTAATTTATGTTGGGTAGGGAGAGTACGGTTGTCACAAGTCCTGTTTAGCAAGTTTACCTTTCTCTTTTTCTGGAGCTGAAATCAACTTCAAGTTTAGCATATACTTTTTTTGCCATTTTGTTTGCCTGGTCATTAGCTGGATGAGCTTTAGATACAAATACAATAAACCATTCCCTTTCATCATTCTGGACAATTAGTTTCAAGCGTGGTTTAAGGATGGTTTTAAACTCATCAAGATCCTGGGAAGTGAAAATAAGAGTTATACTACATAATAGATTCTGCAACAGAAGCAATGAAAAAATTATAAACCAAAAATTATAAAAGAAACAATAATTGATGATTTAGATTTTTATTCCCCAAATGGTCTATAAAGCTCAGCTTAGAATTTTTGCTAGAATATGGCAAATGGACAATAGGATTCTTGATCAACAGCATGAAATGAAGATCCTTATAATGGATTTTATCATCATGTTATCAATAATTATTCCAGCATTTGCAGAATCCCCAAAAAAAGGAGCAAAAAATCAGTATTGATTTTCCCCACAACCAAGAAGATAGCTAACTTAAATAGCATTTAAAATGTACTCTTCATGTCCAACAACAATTGCAAATCTTACAAACTCAGAAAAAATCTTACAAACTAAAATGGATTCATTAAAGTAACTATCATGGCTGTAAATACTACAAAAATGAGGTTTCCCCTTATTATATGCCCTCTCACCTTAAAGATCTTTATATTTAAAGCTTGGACAAGCATAACAATAACACACTCTCCCATTAAACGGTGCTAAAAAGGCAATGATACTATGCAAGTAACTAATCCTCCTTAAAGCCTACAGAATGCATCTATAACAGAGATACTAATAAATTGGGTTCAGACAATTCAAATTTTATCTCTGAAATGCACTGTGATTACACTTAATTCATGAATACCAATGTTGTCAATTGCAGACCGCGGAAAACAGTGGTTTTCTTAAATTCCACTATGCAGAATGTTATAGCCACTACTTGACAATATTTTATACTAAACAGCGTAGCGCGGAATAATAGTGCTTCTTTTCAAATCCCACTATACTATAGCTCTATAGTATCACTATAGCTGCTATTTAACAATAGTCACTGATCAATATGCTTTGCACTATATTTATTTGAATCTTACTCCTCTTAAGTTAGCTCTCACTTTAAAGAGTGGTCATATTTCACTTCATAGGAGCTAATCCTATTTACTTATGTTTCTGTTCTTTACAGTTACCCAAAAATTAGCATTGCTTAGTTATATCTCAAAGCATCCATAAGAAGTAAATGAATTACATTGTAGCAGAAAGCAATAAACTGTGCCAAAATTCATAGAGGAACTCCCCATGTGACCTCATAAGTTTATCAAAAAAATTACAACCTTCTACAAGAATCCAAAAAAAGTAATCAACAGGAATACACATTACCTCACAGGTAACAAGCACGACAGTTGCATATGGCTCACGAAACCAGAACAGCAACTGCTCCTGAGGGAACCGGCTACGAAGCCTTGAATCTGTAGTTAATATGAACTCCGCCGACAACTTCTCAACCAATACAGGGTTCCTCGCCTTGTTATTCAAACTTGCTCTCTTGAACGGCAACCGCGCCTCGAAAGCAGGCTTGACAGTTGGCCACAAATCACTCACATCCTCCACTGACAATCATTCCAATCAAGTATCAATAGAAGCACACCACATACACGCTCACACACATACACACACATCTAGATCACTGACAGTCATAGTCTATGTAACACGGTTACTCGTAACATTGCAGTGGAATTGAATTAAACTAAAACCCTAAATAACATTGTATATTCGTAACCGAGAGATGGATCGTGAAGAAAACGAGATCGGATCTAAGGTTGCAGAGGGAAGAAATGAAGTACCTGAAATGACGAGGCGATCGGAAGAGTTCTTGATGGTTTGGAACTGGGAGAGGAAGTTGGCCATGTTGGATCTGTAGAATATTTAGCAGAGATACATGGAATGGGAATCAGAGAGAGAAGTGCAGTGCAGTGAGAGTTCGGTGATCGAGTTCAGAAGATGTTACGTCCCGGAGATCCAGTGCTTCGCGGTGTACCACACTCGAATCTCGACAATCGCACACTTCATTTCATCACACCCATGTCTTAGCCGTCATGTCATGGCGCTTTTTTTTTTTTTTTTACTGATAGAACTTTTCACTTGTTATGGTACTAGTAACTAGTAGTTACTAAATGGGTGCTTGCTATGTGAATTTGCTTTGCTTTGTGTTTAAAGTTGATTTACTTAAAGTTGTGACAAGTTTTGTAAGTAGTTTTTTTTTTAAATAATTTTTTTTCTCGAGCTTAAGGTTAAAGTATTTATAAAGACTTTTTGGGTCTGCTATAGAGCGGTTATCACTTCTTTCGTTAGAAATGTGGAGAAGAATGACTCGTTCTCCCTTGAATCATGGAGAAGACGATTTTCTTCTTTAAATCTTTTCTTAAATTGTTTGGACACGTTATCTCTCATGCTCGTCTAGTAAATGCGTAACAAAGTTAGTTCGGGAGGTCCAATGAAGCCATTTGTGATGCTGTCTTGGGTGGCTATGGGTTCGTTTGGCAACCTATGTGCCTAAACGGGCAACCTATGGGCCTAGTTGGGAGCTCACCCATTGTTCGTGTATTACACTCTCTACTATTTATCGATGAATTATCCTCTTTTGGACCCGGAAAAATTATGTCAATACACAATATCTCAAGCATTAGGGTTTGAAAAAGACATGGTTTAATTTCATGTGCTTCCAATCTTTGTATTTTGATTAATCCCTATATATAAAGATGAAGGTCCCTCAAGCACGACTTTGGTCGAGTCCATCAAACAAGGCTTTCAACGTGTTATTTACTGTGAAATTTGATAAACAAATATAAGTTTTTATTAATACTTAAGGGATCAAACTCGAAAATCTCCCAAACATGTTTGTGTGTGTGTTATTCGTGAAAACCATAAAATTTGTCGAAGTTAAAGTAAACTTCTTGAAAATACTTTGAAAAGATGTTAGTTGAAGTTGCTTGTGAGTAAGAACAACAATCGAAGGATTGAATAATTGTAAATAAAATGCAAGTAAAGTAAAGAAAAAATACTTTGAAATCGAAAGAGATAAAATGCAGAAAAAGGTTAAGATTAAAGTGCACGGAATTTAAAATGACATGAAAGGTAAAGGAAATTGAAACGTAAAAGAAATGCTTTTAAAGTAAAATTGTTGAAATTGTATAAAGTGATAGAACGCATATGTACATCTTTCTTCACTCGTTTCTCACAACGCAAATACTTTGAGTATTACATAAATGTGTACAATTTGCGGACCCTTACAAAATGAATCTAAGTGCTTACTTATAGTACTCTAAGATAATTGTCTAAGTATGATAAACTACTTTCATGGTGACACGTCTTAAGTCATGTAGCGGTTTTCCTCGACGTGTCTCACGTTTTCTAATTAATCGTCGACGTTGACGTAGTTCCCGCCTTGTTCTATTATTTGAATTTCTCAACTACTTTGCTTGTGTAACGCCCTATTTAATTATTTAGTCGTTTTATGATTTATTTTGTGTGCATGCTTGGCATTGTCTTAATTAGGGGTGTGTGGTTAAGAGTGAGTGTGAGGAATTAGCCTTAATTGAGTAATGTGAATAAAACCTTAGAATAATATGATAATAATAATTAATTAATAATAGGTGGGAAATATTAGTAACATTATGATTATTATTATTAGTAGTACCATTATTATTAGTAGTATTATTATTCTTATTATTGCTATTATTATTATTATTAATTAATTATTAGAGACTAATAAAATAAATAAAACAACTAAGAGCGATTAGTATAAGGTTTTTCACAAAAGATCAGTTACGTGAAAAGAGAAGAGAAATAAGAGAAAGAGAGCTAGGGCAAGGGAACGAGGGGATTTTTCCACCATTGTTGAAGAGTCGAAGCTTGGAAATTCAGGTAAGGGGGAGAATGGGTTATCTAATGGTGATAATAACATGATAGGGTAGTGAGGGTTCCTTTCCCTCTAGAATTTTATGTACATTCTTCTTTTTCCTTGTTTGATTGTTGTGTTATGTGATTGTTGTTGTTAATTCATAGTTGTGTACTGAATGTGTGTATGAATATGTGTGGTATGTTGATTACGATTGGAATATTCGTGCAATTTTAGTACTATTGTTGTTGGGTTCTTATATGGAACCAGATCTGAAAATTTGGGGTTTATGGGATTAACAAAAAACGGGTTGTTAACACATGAAAGGTTGATAAGAATGATGAAATCATGAAGTATAGTTAGAACTTTGGGATTAGACTGAAGAAAAGATTATTTTAGATCTAATTTGGGTGTCAGAATGGGTTTCAATGTGTGATAATCCGTGTATGAAAAATTGGAATTTTTGGTATGCTCACTGGCCATACGCGTATGGGGGGAGGTCATATGCGTATGGGGGACACTCTCAGAGGTCGTACGCGTAGCATATGTGCCTTGTCCCCAAAGCCAACACACCCCTCTGCCAGTACGCATATGATACGCGTATGGTGGGATGGTCAGACGTGTATGGCAGGGTCAGTACGCGTAGGGGTAGCTTTTGAGGGAAGTCATACGCGTATGGGGAATTTTAAAGGGATTTTGAGAGGGAAACCCTCTCTGGCCATACGTGTAAGGGCCAAGGTAATACATGTATGGAGGCCTGGGCAGTGAGGCCATACGCGTATGATACGCATGCTAGGGGTGAGAGAGAGTGGCCATACGCGTATGGGCAGGGTTATTGGGAAAATTTTCCGTTTTCGCGATTTTTGTCCTAATTTCGCGTGCGATGCAATTTCTCTTGATCCGTAAGACTAAGATGGTATAAATAGACATAGGAGAAACTAGTAATAACATGAAATAAAATAAAAGGTGGATTTTATGAGAATGTCTAGTTGAGACGTGTGGGGTGTACGAGCCGAGATTGTCATGTGTGGACGGTCTTGTGCTGTGGTGGTATTTCCTGAGAGAATTACGATAAGCATGTGGCTCGTGTGTGATCCTTGAGGATCATGAAATTTATGCTTGAGTAATTATTATGTGGTGCATAATTTGTGTCATGCATTCATGTCATGTTATATGGAGATGAGCTAGGTGGGAATTCATGATGGGTGCCTAGTCTTGTCCGGACTCTATGTGGGAGTCGTGTGGAGATAAGCTGTAGTTCAGAGGAATGTATACAACTTATCCGGATTCATATGGGAATTGGGTTCTAGGGTGAACTGTATGTGATTGTGATAGTACCACATGCATTGTATCGTGTCAATTGAGTCGTATTGCATATGTACATGATTTAAGGTGGGTTGTTTATGCTGAATAATGATGTGACACTTGTATGTGCCTGATGATTGTATGATTAATGTGTTTTGTGTGAACTACTCCTTAGCATGTGTTTTTCGTCATATATTTATTGAATGTAGTTCTCACCCTTTTTTTTCTATTTGTTGTGTTTGTGCCCCTTAGGGAGTACGTATGATCAGGTACTTGAGTAGTGCTTGGAGCTTGTGTTGCTATTTTATCGAGTCTTAGGAGTCGCTCTGATATATAACATGGGAAGGATGGAGATTTCTTTATGTCTTTCATGTTATTTGTTATTCGCGATTTGTTATGTATCATGCTTTGTTTTTATTGTTATTGAACCACGTATTATGTGGAAATTTGATGTAATTAAAGCTTTAATGCTAAACCATTGAGTTAATTGTTGTTGTTTAATAAAAGTATTTGTTTTTATTGATGAATAAGAGATGAAGTGATTTGATACTTTATAATGAGGTTTTGTAATGTGGCGTCCTACATGTGTAACTCTGATTATTTCTACAATATTTTTGTATTTTTGATTTTTATACGAATGGGTACAGTAGGGTGTTATAGTTGGCGCTAAGAACTAGTTATTGTCGTCGAGGCCTTCGACGTCGGCTGTCAACTAGCATGCTTCATCGGATTGTCCATTATAGTGATGTACTCCACATGTAACATCTAAGTCAACATTGTTTCCATTATAGTGATTGACTCCATGTCTGGTGGCTAAGTCGACGTTACTTCTATTGTAGTGATGAACTCCAACCTTAGCCAACATAGCATAGTATTAAATTTCACTAAGTCCCTAAGTTCTTTACCACGTACTTCGATCGTGCCACTATCGACCGATATCACCCTATGTGGATCTCGACCTTGAGTCATGCTTATTATATGGACTCACTCTCTTTTTGATATTCCGCGTGGCATACATATGTCTAGTTTCATGAATACTTGTCATTTATAGTTAATTCGAAATTATAGTGTAACAAATTGCCTCCCAAAAGGCCATGTTTTGATTTGAATCAAACAAGAGAGACATGGCCTTTTTTATCAGCCTTCAGTAAAGGGATTGCTTCAACCCACTTTGTGAAGTAATCAATTCCAACCAATATGTATTTCTGGCTTTTAGAGGAGGCATGTCGAATTTCCCTAATTAGGTCTAACTTTCATCCTTTAAATGGCCAAGGTTTCTCTATCGCGTGCAACTCGCTTGCAGGGACATGTTGTATGCTTGAGTGAATATGACATTCTTGGCAACCTTTGGTAAAATCAATGCAGTTTTTAAGCATTGTAGGCCAATAGACACCTTGGCGACATAACAACCACTTCATTTTGTGCCCTACACGCTCCGATGTGGGTGTTCGACACGACCAAATACACCTCTTTTTTGCCAAGGCATTTGAGCAACACTCCCTCTTGGGTCTTTTTAAGCACCTCGTTGCCAATGATTACATAATTCAAGGATTTATACTTGATCTTTCGATCTGTTGATCCGAATGGATTCCTCAATAAATCAACTATGGGCTTTCTCCAATCAGTTTCAGGCAAGTCATCGATAGTACAGATTTCGAAGTTCTTCGAGTCTGATCTGATGGAGAAAGCCTTGTTGCTTGAACTC